CTAGTTCATTCAAAACACTTTTGCTCGATCGGTCGTTAGGCGCTTCTGACAGCATCGTATTACAAGTCCTCCTCGTCCCTTACCGCTTTCGAACCCCCTTTTCATTTTGTTAATACATATGCACACTTTTCTGCCTTCGGGACACTATCTCTCTCTCTCTGTGGTATTCTTTCTCGCGACAACCGTTGTACGACGAGACAGGGTTTGCGAAACGAATATTCTTCCTGTCCTTTCCTCTGTTCATCCACAATTTGCTCCTTCCTGTTCTTCCACACAAACCCGAGTCGATACACTTTTTCTCGAAAATACTTGATGCCGGAGACCGAGTAAATCTCTCACGACTCGACCGCTTCCTTTCGTTAAGGACCGCATGGCGTAGCGACGCAACATCCTAAGTGTTTCGCATAAATTCGCTAATTCATATCATCTTCTTCGCCTTTCGCTGCTTCTCCTTTTCGTTTCTCTCTGTCCCCCATCCCCGACCCCCTTCTCCCTCCCTCTCTTTCTTTCTCTCGTTTTCTTGCTCACACACACGCACACGCTCTCTCTCTCTCTCTCTCTCTCTCTCTCTCTCTCCCCCTCCCACACCTTTAGAAGAGATCAACATTCTCCATCCAGAGTCGAATATGTTCACGTTCAAAATTTTCGACAAGAGGCAACGGCGGTCATATACACGGCGACCAGCACGCGAATCGATCCTCTAAGAAAGGATTCGGTCGAGAACGAGATACCCGAACGTAACAGCTCTAGCGGTGGCATCGGCAGCAGTGTGCAGTCGCAATGGAACAAAGAGGTCACAATTTTTCGAGGAGGAGATTAAGGAAACAAGGATTCGGAAACTGGCGGTGGTGGTCTCTTACGAATGTGGAAGAAAGAAAGGAAGGAAGAAAATGTGAAAGGGTGGGAGGTATATGGAAGGGAGGAAGAAGATAGGATAAAGGATGAAAGGTTTAACAGAGTCTGAGAAACGGAACGAATCGAGAGAGAGAGAGAGAGAGAGAGAGAGAGAGAGAGAGAGAGAGAATGAAGAGATTGAGGGGAGAGGAAGGAAGGGAGAAGGAAACGAGGTACGCGAAAGGACAGGCGAATGGATAAATCGATCTCGGGTGGATGGATGGGTGAGCACTTCAAGGGACGGGGGGACGATAGAGAATAGGATGTTCTTATTAGGTTAGAAAGGACTTAAGCTTAGGAAGGTTAGTTGTCGCCGCCCTCCTGTGCTTCGTCCGCATCACCCTGCGTGTCACTGGTCCAAAGAGTGAGGTTGTCGCGCAAAAGCTGCATAATTAGCGTGGAATCTTTGTAGCTGTCCTCGTTAAGTGTGTCCAATTCTGCGATCGCATCGTCGAACGCCTGAAACGTTTACGCAACACCAAATTTAATCGTACATCCATGAAGAAGCACTATGTCACACAACACAACACAACACAACACAACACAACACAACACAACACACACACACACGCACAACTCTATTCAGCAATCGCGTACAGTTCAATCACGCGAGTTCACACGTTTTTCGTGCAAAGCATCATATATCGACCAGCATTTTTTTCTTTTTCTTTTTTTCATCAGAAGTAGCAAATATTGTTACGAACGTGTTAATAATAATATAAAATAAGAATGATGCGGAATGGTTACCGATACAGTGGAGAATCTTTATGACAATCATCACAGCAACATACGTGTCGGTGGTTCTTTTCCTTTTCGTCCTCTGTTCTTTTCTCTAACGGGTTAGTATACACTCAAAAACATCGCACGTACAGCAAGGTACCATATCTATACCGATATCAGTTGTAAAAGGTGCAATTTGATTGGTTCGTTAATTAAACCGGTTATCGTTCTCTGAACAAACGTTTATCACGTTCACGTTCACGTCACAGAAACAGAAAAAGCAAGCATCGTCAAACCGTTCCTAGTCGTTCGCTAACCTGTTTAGCAAGATGACAGGCTCTAGCCGGAGAATTAATAATTTCGTAATAAAAAACGGAGAAATTGAGTGCAAGGCCAAGCCTGATGGGATGCGTAGGCTGCATTTTCGATTTCGCTATGTCAAACGCTTCTTGATACGCCTTCTGCGAATCCTCGACTACCGCTGTAATACAAACAAACCGGGAAACCCAGATTACAACTTCTAAATATTTCTAACCAAATTGTTAACACCTTTGTCGAGATACATGTGAGCGTGGCAAATGAACTAGAAGAAGAGGAAGGAAAGAAACACAAGGAGAAGGGAAGACGAAGATGACGACGACGACGACGACGACGAACTATACCCTGTGTGTTATTCGGGATCGCGAGATGCAACGGTGATCTCTTGAGAGGAAATAACGTAATAAAACGATACATTTGGCTCCACTGCATCGCCACCACTCTCTATCACCGTCCCCCTTTCTTCACATTTTTCCGCGATTGCTGAACAACAAACTATCGACATCATTTTCTCGTTTCTGTGAATTATACCTGTTTGGCCAGCTGGCAGGCCTTGTCTGGAGAGTTGAGTATCTCGTAATAAAAAACGGAGAAGTTGAGGGCGAGACCTAGCCTGATCGGGTGAGTAGGCTGCATCTTTGACTTTGCTATGTCAAACGCTTCTTGGTACGCTTTCTGTGAATCCTCGACTACCGCTGTAATGCAAACCGGGAAATCCAGATTACAATTTCTACAAAGGTATACATGGACCGTGAAAACACATCCCTCCGTCGCAGTGTACGAACGGATCTCGGGACAGGAAGAAAAAAGGGAAGAACGGGTGACGATCGTCATCTATCTCTCGCGCGTATGCCGCGTTCGCGGATCATTTTTACGCAACTTGAATCGATCGAGCAAAAAGGTTAAACAACAGACGACGACAAGTTGGAAAAGTTTAGTTGCCTCCTCTCCTCTTTCTTCATCTCGTAACCATTAACTTTTTTTCCCTCCACTGCATCTCACCACATAGGTACACACACGCACACACGCACACACGCACGCACGCACGCACGCACGCACGCACGACACACAGCAGGCACACGCTCAACCATCGTTCCGCATCTTTCCGCGATTGCTGTGAACTATTATTCGATATATTTATCAAAGTCTCCCACCGCGCCTTTGTGAATTATACCTGTTTGGCCAGCTGGCAGGCCTTGTCTGGAGAGTTGAGGATCTCGTAATAGAAAACGGAGAAGTTGAGGGCGAGACCTAGCCTGATCGGGTGAGTAGGCTGCATCTTTGACTTGCTGATTTCAAACGCATCCTGGTATGCTTTCTGGCTGTCGTCTACCACGGCTGAATATATATTACGTGGAAAATTATCTTTCAATCTTTCTCGTCAGGCTTTACGCGATGGTGGTGGTGGTTTTACGGAACTCTATCGCGATAATACGTGCGAATTCACAAGGAACATAGCAGACGTTTTTTGTCGTAATCGAGAAAACTAACAACGGCGTTAAATTTCGGCAAGTAACCGCTTGGGAAAGGCAGGCAGGCAGGCAGGCAGGCAGGCAGCAGCAGGCTATACACACAGGTATTCGTCGGGCCATTTAAATGAAAGAATGCGCCAGAGTATGTATACTTTTTCGCTGGAACATCTGCCGCTGCCGCTGCAGCTGTGCTTCCTCCTCTTTTCTAAAGTAACAGCTACAGGGAGGAGGAACGAAGAGAGTATTGTATAGCAGAGCTTTCTATTCGAAGAAAGACACGACACACTCTCTTCTCTCAGCAACCACCTCGTATAAATTGAATTTCGGATTACAAAGTAACTTGCACGTTTAGGAGAGTGTCGACGGAAAAATGATGAAATTTGTTAGTAATTCGTCTGACTGTCAAGTACGTACCGTTTCTGGTATCACCGGTGGCGACTTCTGCGAGATACCTATAGTAATCACCCTTCATCTTGAGGTAGAAAACTTTACTCTCGGCATTGCTAGCCTTAGGGATCAGGTACTTGTCAAGGAGTCCCTGAAACGTAAACGATGCCATTTATTAATTCGATTTTATCAATCGCGTTTCCGAAAATCTGAGAAGGAGATTGGCGAAACACGCGTTGTCACGCTCGTTGGAGGACGAGAAGGAGATCGCGTAAGACGAGCTACTGGTCGAGTCTCGAAACTGACCCGCGTGAAATTCAAACCGGTGACCGATCTTCGTCGCTTTCCACCTCTTGGAATACGCAGACGCGACAAAGAGAGTCGTCAGTGTAAAACGATCCAGCATCGAAACTATGAAACTAGGCCATTTGGCGTATCCTTACCAATACGTCGTAACAAATTTCACGCAGCTCCTTTTCCACCTTTTCCCGGTATTCCTTTGCCATCTGCTGTTTGCGTTCCGAGCCTTCGGTCTTCTGCTCAATGGAGGAGATTACTCTCCACGAGCTACGTCTCGCGCCAACGACATTCTTATAAGCTACGGACAGCAGGTTCCTCTCCTCGTTTGACAACTCGACTCCCGTCTCGGTGACCGCCTTCATCGCGGCAGCCATGTCATCGTACCTCTCCGCCTGTTCGGCGAGCTTTGCACGCTGTACCAATTCCTCCTTGTCCACGGACATTGTGTCGGCTGCGAAACAAAAATTGCCACTGTAATGCACACACACACACACACACACACACGGTATTAGAATCGAAGGCAAGCAAGGGGATTAAATGCCTAAGTGCATTAAATGTCGCCGTATTCCTTTTCTCCTAGCTTGTACACGCGCGTCAGAATAGATTTAGAACAGAGGACGACATGTAGCTACCTCTCTTTCTACACTTATTCGTACAGAATCAACAACAGAGGTTTCGTTGTTCACAAAGTCACGCGGCGGCAAGAATAGCTGCGTGGTTGAAAACATTCTTCCTCCTACCTGGCGTGCGTGGCCGGCCTGGCCTGGGCCTTCCTAACGGTTCACGGATTTACCCCAAACGAATGTTCACGACCTTGACCACGGGGTGCGCTTTCGAATTCGAACAAAGGGGATTTCGACCGTCGTTTCTAACCAAATCTTCGCCGACGTGTTTCCGTCCCGGTCGTTTACCCAGGAGAAACTGCAAATGAAATCCGTAACCGTGACACGCCTTTACCGCGATTGATCAATTATTCGTCTAAACGCGGCGGACGGCATCGATCGTTTCTTGCTTTATGTACACGCACGAGCACGCACCGATTACGTTTCAAACAACAATGTTCAACGATTCCTTTTTATTCGTTTCATCCTCGCCGCGGTTAACGAATGGAAAGGAAGACTCCGCACTCTTCTAACGTGGGTATAATCGTATAGCAACGATGATGAGTCACTGCATCGGACCGCATTACGACGCCAAACCGTAGTGTAGGCACGCACGCACGCACGCACGCACGCACGCACGCACGCACGCACACCA